GTCTTGCATTGTGGTTATAGAAGCTTACCTTATAAGGCTTTTGTAACCAAAATTAAAAATGTTTTAGTGGGGAAGGCGTATTACTCCATAGATGATTTCTTAAACGATATACAGTCCTTCGATTGATATTTTTATGATGTATTACGACTGTGCCTTTGTCGCTACTGACCGGACACCGATTTATTACACCGATTATTTTATCAGGGGTTTAATGTAATGTAATGTATTTAGTAATTTATTCTTTCTTATATATGTTTTTATGTTGTATTTCTATTTCGATTGTGACGAATGTATGCCCTCTGGGTTATTAACATAATAAATTATTATTATTATTATTATTGTTGTAATAACTACCGCTTTATGATCAGACATATGACAATCAATTGCATAAGCATTGGAAGGGATCTGTGCATTTGTGAAGATATTATCTAGGCAATTCTGGTTTCTAGTCGGTACTGTAATTTTACCGTCCAGGCCGCAACTAGACAGGAGATCTAGCAATTCTATTCTTTCTTTATCAGAAATAATATTGAATTTTACATTAAAGTCGTCATTTATAACAACTATTCGATCATTCATACACAATCGGATCAAAACCGCGTTTAAAGTGTTAATAAATGTATTAAAGTCACCTCGTGGGGGTCTATATATACTAACAACAACTATATTATAATCAATAAGTTCAACCGCAGCGATTTCACAAATTGATTCGACTGACAACATTGCAATATCGTCTCTAGATTTTGTCTTTATTACGTTTTTTGATAATATGACTACACCACCGTAACCGCCTTTTTTTGAAACTCTAGCAAAGGCAGAACAAATCTTATAATCATTTACCACAAAAGAATCGATCTCATTAGCTGTCAACCAGTGTTCCGTAAAACGTACCACATCATATTGAGTAAACTCACACAGAATTAAGCCAGATACCTTACCGATTAAGCAAAGGTATTATCCTATTTCTCCTGCGATGCAAAAATTAGTTAATAGCGAATTAGACGAGATGTTAGCTTTGGGGATTGTAAAGAAATCCAATAGTTCATGGGCATCTCCTATCCTTTTGATTCCTAAACGAGACGGCGAGTACCGATTTTGCGTGGACTATAGACAGTTGAACCGGGTTACGTTATCGGACGCGTATCCGTTGCCTAATGTGTCGTGGGCTTTAGATAGCCTTAGAGACGCGAAATATTTATCCTCGATTGACATTAAATCAGCCTATTGTGCAAATTCCGATGTCAGAAGACAGTAAATTGTATACAGCCTTCACTATCAAAAATCATGGCTTATTTCACTTTAACAGAATGTCATTCGGTCTAACTAACGCTCCTGCTACATGGCAGAGGTTCATCGATGAAATAATTGGAAGTGATATTGACCCCCATGTCTTCGTCTATCTTGATGATATCATTATTGTCACACCTACCATCGAAAAACATTTTGAAGTTTTGGAGAAAGTATGTTCACGACTAATGTCAGCAGGTCTTACACTGAATAAAGAGAAATGTCAATTCTTTCGGGAATCTTTGAGATATTTGGGCTATGTTGTTGATGGGAATGGACTTCATGTGGACCCTGAAAAGGTTCGATCAATTTTGGAAATCACCATCCCGAAGAAAGTGTCAGAAGTACGAAGAATGGTAGGCATGGCTTTATGGTATCGGCGCTTTATACCAAACTTTTCTACTGTGGTATCTCCACTTACGGCTTTACTGAAAAAGACTTGCAAGAATTTTTGTTGGAAGGACGATTGTGTGAATGCTTGGAATCGCCTCAAAGAAAAATTAGTATCTGCTCCCATTTTAACTAGACCAAACTTCGACCATGAATTTTTGATTCAGACAGATGCTTCCGACTATGGTATTGGTGCTGTGCTGACTCAAGATTTTGGAGACGGTGAGCAAGTCATCTGTTACCTGAGTAGATCATTGACCTCCCAAGAACGAAAATATAGTGTAACGGAAAAGGAATGCTTAGTGGTGTTGTGGGCCGTTGAGAAATTAAGACCGTATGTGGAAGGGAGTCACTTTACGATCATAACAGATCATTATTCACTCGTGTGGCTTAATACTTTGAAAATTCCTTCAGGTAGACTTGCAAGAAGGGCAATCAGATTGCAACAATATAACTTTACCATAAAACACCGAAAAGGAAAAGAGCATATTACACCGGATGGATTGTCTAGGTCTGTCCCGGTGATGGTGGAAGAATTTTTGGGCGAAAAGATGGAAATTTCAGATCCTGTTACGGCTTGAAAACAAATTGAGAAAAGAAGATACAAAACCAAAATAAATTGATTCCTAATTCCCAATCTAAATAATATGAGGTCAAGGGGACCTCGGCTAGTTCAGGATTGGAGGGGTAGTTCATTTATTTGGCGCCACACCATTGAAATCCCTTGACCCACACTAATGGTGAAGTGGGTTGTTGGAAAAAGAGAGGGAAAAGGAAATTTAAAATCAAAATAACGATATAAACAATTCTATTCAAGAGATGCAAAGATAACACACAAAAAAAAAAATAAAGTTAATATGAAAGATAAAAAAAAATCACAAATCAAATTCTTTTTATAAGAGATAAAATGGGAAACAAATAACAAAAATATCGCGAAACTTAATGATTCGCCCCCCCTCTACAAGCTTGTCAGGGAAAAACGTTTAAATCAAATTAAAAAAAATAATAATAAAAACGACTAACTAATCCCAATTTTAAGTCTTTTAACAAATGAAAATAATTAAGTTTAAATGTAACCGTGTAAGTATTTATTTAAAAAAAATTATCCTTTTATTCATTTATCTTTCTTTAAGAAAATTGAAAAAGTTAAGTTGAAAGAATTGAATTAAAAAAAAAAAGTTATAACAAAGGTTTGTTTACACTTTCTTATAAAACTTTTGAACAAAAAAAAAAAATATGTTCGTTTCCTTACAAAAATCGTTGATTCCAAAAGAAAATTGATACGTTCTGACCTTGAAACTTTGTTGACGATGTGTTTTCCAAAAAAAAACGTAATATCCTCCAGGGACGATCTCCACAGCAGTAGCAGTAATCCTTCTTCGTGAAAGGACAATGATTATTGCAATGGCTTAGGTCTTAGGTTTCACAAACTGTCTAATTTTTGCTCCTTTTAAATAGGATATGAATTACTCCAAAATTAAAAGCCTAAAGTGGAAAGAAAATCGAAAACGATGTGTTAGATTTAATTAAGAAAAAAAAAATTAAATTTCATCGCAAATGTAAATGGATTAAAGATAAATTAAATGACTTTAATAAAAGTTAAAAAAAACTAGAGGAAACCTACCTCCGATCTTCGAGGCCTTAGTCAGTAAAAAAAAACTGTTTAATTTTCGTTAAAATAATCAACTCCGGAATAACTCCGTAAATTTATATTCCTTCAGGATTTATAAATAAAATGAATATCTTCGTGATGACTTCGCCAACAGCGGATATGCCCAAAATAATCGAAAAGTTAAATCACAAAACTCAAAAATTTTGGCAACAAGTTCACTAGATATGTCTTTAACGACTGACTTGGTAAAAGAAAGAGAATCTCACATCCGGATTTCTTTAAATACCAAATAAAAAAAAAATGTGAACTTAACGTCACATCTGGTACCAACAAAATCAAAATATGTTCAGAATAAATTTGTTTATTAAAAATTACTATGTGAAATTTATGAAACTTTAATTTAAAATTCTAATAAAATTAAATAAATTAAATTGAAAAGTGAAAAGAACTGAATTAGAGAAACGATAGACTAACTAAATTGAATAATTAAAAAAATAAAATAATCATATCAGAGACAGCCATTTTTGGAAAGGGTAACTAAAGAAAAATAGGATTCTGCTGAAAATTGGAAAGGATAAAAAAAAGGAAACAAAAAGGTAACATTCCCTCCTTACCTATTTAAAAGAAATTTACAAAGTAAATTTCTGCTATATGTACTTAAATTCTAATTTACAACATAAGTAATAATGATTAAATGTAATACCAAAGAAAAGAATTCGTTTCGAAAACATACTATGAAATCTAAGAGAAAAAAAAAGGAAAAAAAATTAAGGTGGGTTTAAAACTATTAAACTATATAAATTTTTACATCGCAAACTAAATATAAAATATTCCACCATTCCACAAAATCACTTAGTAACTCACTGCACCAAAGATTGATCAAAGATGTTATTTGAGTTGGTTATACCGATTCGTTTGAAGGACTTCTACTTTCCGCCGATTATACGGTGGCTCTATTAGTCGCCCAAGCCACAGGGCAAAAGATGATTAGCTAATTTTCGTTATCTTTTTCAAATGAGTGCTGTGCCAATGACCGATAAGTTTTTCTCCGTCTAAATTTTCCAATTCAAAAATATCTGAAGTGATTTTTCTTCTAATTCTAAAAGGTCCTATTGTTAATGCCAATTTTGCTGCGAAACCTTTATCAGCATCCGAAATTTGAAAATTCCGTCTCCACACCTGATCACCCTCTTGAAAGTTAGTGTTCCGATGTCGCAAATTATACCTTTCTGTTGATTTTTCTCCACTCACTTTAATCCTTTCATGTACCTTACGATATAATCTATCTATATTACTATTTTTTTTCTTTAGGTGTTGTTTCTTCTTCGTTTCTATTAATCATTTGATGTTCGTTACCCTTTGTCACCATCTCTCGGCTAAAATTGATGAAATAAGGTGAATAAGTCGTAGTCTCGTGAGAAGCTGTTCGGAGAGCACACAAAACTTTAGGGAGGTAGAAATCCCATTTTCGGTGATTATCATTAATATAACCTATTAACATCGTTTTAATTGTTCTATTAGTTCTTTCAGTTGGATTGGCCTACGCGTGATAGAAAGGTGTGAATTGTTGTTTTACTTGATATTTAATCATCAATTTGTTGAATTCCTTTGAGCGAAATTGAACTCCATTATCTGAAATAAGAACTTCAGGTACACCAAACAACAAAAATACATTTTCCTCCAAATTACGAACGATAGCAGTGGTCGTTGCTTATCTCAAAGCAAACGCTAACGGAAATTTCGAGAATAAATCCAAAACTACTAAGATATAAGCGTATCCTCGACCACTACGTGGTAACGGTCCTAAAATATCTACGCTGACATATTGCCATGGTCTTACTGCTTTCACATGACTGCTTATCTTCCCAGGTTGTCGTTGTTGTTCCGGTTTACTTTTTTGACACATCTGGAACCTTTGAACGTACCGCTGAACATCAGCCCTTAGTTTCGGCCTGTAAAAACGCCTCAAGAGCTTTGAAGTTGTTTTATAGGTACCCAGATGTCCCCCGTCTTCTGGCGAATCATGGAATCGCTGAAGTAATCCTTTTTGTTCCATCTTAGGTACAATACCCAATACATCCTTTATCCCAAATATGTTTATATAACCTACCATTTTCTAGTCGGTAATTATTAAATTTTTGAGGATTTTCCTGTACCGATTTGATGATCTTTTCGTACCAAGGATCTGATTTCATCGGAGCCTCCAAACTCTCCACAATAACAGGTACTGATCTTGATAACATATCAGGCACTAAGTGATCTTTCCCTTTTCGATGTACGATGGTAAAATTGAATTGCTGCAAACGTATAGCCCATCTCGCTAATCTTCCGCTAGGATTCTTCAAATTGTTTAACCAAACGAGGGAGTAGTGATCGGTCAGAACAGTAAAGGTCAGGTTGCGTTCCCTCAACATAAGGTCGCAATTTCTCGACGGCCCAAAGTACTGCTAAGCATTCCTTTTCGGTGGTAGAGAACTTTCTTTCTTGTGCTGTCAATGAATGACTCAAGTATGAAATTACTTTTTCCTCTCCATTTAAATTCTGACTGAGTACTGCTCCAAGACCAAAATCAGAAGCATCTGTCTGAATTGTAAATTCTTGAGTAAAATCTGGGCATGACAAAACTGGTGCTATGATTAAATTTTCTTTTACTTTTTTCAAAGATTTTTCACATCGGTCTGACCAAACAAATTTTTGATTTTTCCTTAATAATGATGTTAGCGGAGAAATGATTGTGGAGAAATTTGATACAAAGTGACGGTACCACGAGGCAACTCCCACCATCCTACGCACTTCAGACACTTTTCTTGGCAACGGAATTTCTAAGATGGCTCTAACTTTATCCGGATCCACCCGTAACCCATTTCTATCCACCACATAGCCGAGATACTTCAATGATTCCCTGCAGAAACTGCATTTATCTTTGCTGAATGTCAATCCAGCATTTCTTATACGTGTAATAACTTCCTCCAATATCTCCAAATGCCTTTCCAAAGTTGGGGTTACAATAACGATATCATCCAAGTAGACGAACACGTATGGATCCAAATCTCCACCCAAAACATCGTCAATAAAACGTTGCCACGTCGCTGGGCATTGGACAAACCAAACGGCATACGCTTGAATTGGAAGAGGCCACGATTAGGGACGGTAAAAGCCGTATATTTTCTAATTTCCTCTTCTACTGGGATCTGCCAATAAGCAGACTTTATATCTAAAGACGATAAATATTTGGCATCACGCAATCGATCCAGCGTCCATGAAATCTGAGGTAGAGGGTAAGCATCTAATTGAGTAACTCTATTTAATTTTCGATAATCGACGCAAAATCTATATCCCCCTTCTTTCTTCGGCACAAGTAAGATTGGAGAAGCCCAAGGACTGTTAGATTTTTTAATTACATCTAAACTAAGCATTTCATCTAATTCCTTGTCGATAATTGTTTGTATTGCTGGTGAAACAGGGTAGTATCTTTGTTTTATTGGTGGTCCGTTGGCAATAATCTTATGTTCGACCGACGTCGCTTTTCCTAAAACTTGATCTGGAAATACTTCAAAAAGTCGTTCAATTAAAGCCTGAAGTTTTCTTTCTGCTTCTGGTTGTAACGCAGATCTAGCACAAATAGAATTAACTGTGACCAAAGGCGGTTCTTTCGAAAAACTCCAATTTCCATTTCTTAAATCTGGCACAATACCCATCCTCTTCCAAAAGTTTGTTCCCAAAATTAGAGTATGTTTTAAACTAGGTATTAACAAAACTTCAATGATCCTGACACGATTCTCCAAAGTTACCGGAATACTGGCTCTACCTGTAACCATACATTCCTCCCCATTGGCTAATCTACAAGTAAAATCACATTTTTCAATAACATAAGACAATCTATTCAAAATTTTTATCCCTGGTCCACCTAAAATGGTATTGGTGGCTCCTGAATCCAAAAGTCCTACTATTCCACGTCCCAAAATACTAACTTCGAGGTATGGTCTTTCATTATCACGTATCGAAGTAAAAATATAATCTAAAATAATTCCGACCGCTTTTTCTTTGGAGGATTGGTGTGGACGACGGTCTACCGACACACCCTTGATCCGTTTCCCGAACATCTTGGACATGAACTTCTGACAACATCAGGTTTTCCACAACCATAACAATGTCTTTTACGAGGATTTCTACATTGACGTGAGTTATGACCATTATGGCCGCAATTCCAGCATTTATTTTTAGTTGATTGATGCTGTTCAGGTCTGGCTGACGGAGGTTCTCCTGATCCTTGTCCAACAAAAGCTAAATCTGGCTCCAATGCATGGCATCTTTTTGGAGGAGGAACATATTTATCCGCCGAAATTCGTGTAGCTTCAATTTTTCTTCCAAGTTGCAATAGCCCTTCTATTGAAGTAACTTCAACCAACGATAGTTGTCTCTGAAGCGATGGTGTTAAATTCTTCATAATAATTTTAAGTTGTACAGTTTCTGAAATCTTCCCATTCATCCTTGAGAATAAATTCTTCATGGTTGCTATATAAATACCGATCGTTTCACTTGATGCTTGAGTTGTCTTACGAACTTCTTCCAACAATCTATCATAGTCTACAGGTTGGAACTCTTGACTTAATCGTTCAACCAATTCTTCCCAACTCGTAAACGAGTCTCTATTGGCTCTATACCATATCAAGGCTTTACCTTCGAACAAATCAATCGCTGACAAAAATAATGCGTTTCGAAACACCCTCCTCGCAACGCTCAATTCTTTAACTCTCTCCAGGAATGCGCTCAAGGAACATGTTGGTTCTCCTGTAAATTTAGTTCCCCATTTCGTCACAGGAATTGGTTTCATACACATAACTTCTTTAGCATCATCAGTTGAATCACTTGTCTCTTCTCCTGACGAAGAATTTCCTGCCATTAAACTTAATTCAGCTACTGATTTCGTAGGTGTCGAAGTGTGAGCTTTCCCTTTAACTTCCAATAGTGAAATTAAAGAAACAATCGTGGATATTAATTTTGATTTATTATCCTGTTCTGCTTTAGTTGTAGGTTTTATTCGTGTAGCTCTATCTAAGAGATGAGTAAGTCGACTATCTAACTTTTTGTAATTATTTGAAGCCTTACTTCCTGTAAAATCATCAACTAACGGTGTGAGTGTGTTGATTTTATCGTCCACAGCTTTTGAATCCTCTTCATAAGTAAATGGATATGTGGGCCATTCAAAACTTGAATCTTTTTCCATCTTTCGAAGTTTTCTAAGAGTATGTCTTGTAATGGAAAAATACCTTAATAGATTTCATAAATTAAACCATGTGCAATCTTACGCCAAAGAAAGGAAATATCATATATTGTTGACGACAGCAATTCGGCCGTCGACGTAGGTAATAGGAATAAGTAGAATAGAATAGTATGGGAAGTCTTAAGCAAGCTCTCATCGATTAAACTCGCGACCGGTGTAATTTTATTATAAGGAAAATAAAATATGTTTTAAAATTAACACTTTGTGTTTAAATAAAAATCTGATAAACTATAAAGTGAAGACATTACATGGCGATCCTGCCAGCCCTGGACATTAAAAACTAGTAATATTATGTGTAAAAAAAAAAGTAATAAAAAGTGTTGAAAATGTCATATACGGATGAAGATTATACACTGAGATCAGAAGAAATAGTCCAACAATTAATCGTAGTGATTTGGATAGCTGCAACAACATTGAGCGTTACTGTCTTCATAATATTAACAGTAGTTTGTGTTTTCTGTAAAAAATACACAAATTAAAACGGAAAAATGGGTTCAACTAACACTAAGGAAGAGGTTATCATTTCTCAAGCTGGAAACAGTGGAGGAACAACGGTGGAAAATGGAAAGAAATACGACATTTTAGAAGTCTGCGCTGTCGTTATTGGTATCTTCATTGTAATCGGTATGATACGTTGTTTTTATAACTATTGTAAAAGATGTTTAATTAAGAAAATACGACAAGAAGTAACTAGAAGTCATGAAAATAGATTAAATCAGATAGAATCAAGTGTATAGATATGATAGGGTAAATATAGATATGATAGACAGATTTAATGAGTTAGCTGAAAAGTTAGAGAAGTTTGCAACAAACGTTGGAAAGGATAATAAAGAACAGCGAGCAAATTTAGATTTAATTTTAAGAAAGCTTAGGGCACTAGATCAATTAGAAGCAGAATTAGGAGAATTAGAAACAAATTATACGTTAGAAATAGGTAATTTAGAGGATAAAGTCCAGAAGGTTATACATGAATGTAAAATTAAGATTAGAAATACAATAGAGTCCACTAGGTTAGTATTGATTGATAGGAAAAATAAATTAATTACATCTTTTGAAATAATAAATATAAACATGGCTGATAAATTTGATCTTAAAATTGCGTCATCATTACTGCGAGTAATGGATGGCAAGGAGGACACAATAAAACATTTGATTGATGCCATTGAATTTTATTCTGATACACTCGATGAACCAAGTAAAACTCAATTGATTCGATATGTCATCAAAACCCGTTTATCCGAGAAAGCAAAAATTAAATTAAATGAAAGTTATACTACTGTAGCAGACCTACTAAAGGACCTAAAAACTCATTTGTTAAGTAAACAATCGGCCTCAACACTTTCTTTAAAATTGCACCAAGCGCGTCAAAACTCAAAATCACTAAACGACTTTGGTTCAGAAATTGAAAACCTTATGAACAATTTAACTATTGCGCAAGCGAAAGGTAACAGAGAAAGCACAAATGTGTTATCAGTCGTCAATGAAACATTGGCAATAAACGCGTTTTGTAACGGCTTAAAAAATAATGATTTAAGAACAATATTGTCAAAGCTAGAAACTGTGCATCGTTAAAGGAAGCTATAACCGTTGCGGTTGATGAAAGTAGGAATAATTTAGGGCAAGACCCCCACATTTTTCATTTTAGAGGTAGTTGGAGAGAAAACCGTGGATGGCGTGGCTATCGTGGACATTTTGGCTATCGTGGAAATCGCGGCAATCGTGGAAATTCACAAAATAATACTTATTATAATCATAAATTTAATAATAATCATCAGCAAAATCTGAGACATCAAAATAACAATCGCGGTAATACTCGAGGTTATACACGCGCCAGAAGGGGTAATGTTCGCGTAGGCAATCGGATCTATGCGGTACAACAAGATGAGTCACAGGAAACAAAAAATAACACCGCCACATTTTGTCGTCAGCAATAATGTGTCGGAAAAAATATTACAAGTCAATGACGCTAATTTCATAGAAGTGGAATGTGAAGGACAAATACGATTGTTAATTGATACAGGCGCTACAATAAGTGCTGTTTTTTCAAAATTTGTTAATAACTCTTATATAGATAGTTCTCAAAAAACTAAACTAAACGGTATCTGTGGTTCTATGTTTTCGGAAGGGATATGTAAAATGACAATTATATTTCAGAATAATACGATATCCCACCCATTCCACGTTCTCACGATTCTATTCATGGAATTATAGGCTTAGACTTTTTATTAAAATACAACGCTAATCTAAACTATGAAACTTTTACAATGTCTTTACAAATCAATCAAAGAAAAATTTGTATTCCGTTATTATCGAAACATAAACAAGTTATTCCACCACGGTGCGAAATCATTAAATATATTAAAACATCAATAGAAAACGATTGTGTAATTTTACCAACCGAAATTTGCAAAGGAGTTTTTACAGCCGGTATCCTTGCTAGACCACAACAAAATTTAATTCCAGTTAGAATACTAAACGTTAATGACAAAGAGGTTCGAATTACAAATTTTAAACCAGTTGTCGAAGTACTCTCAAATTATGATTTTTATAATTTTCAAAAACAAAATATATCGGTTAATCGTATAGATAAAGTACTTAACTTAATAAACACTAAAAATCTGAATAAAGAAGAAGAAACAGCTATTTAAAAAATATGTGCAAAGTTTGCAGATGTTTTTCATTTAGAAGGAGATCCTCTCGAAGTGACTAATATTTGCAAACAAAAACTTTACTTGCAAAAAGATGCTGTGCCAGTATATGTAAAACCTTATCGACAACCTCAAACACAGAAAGCTGAAATACAAAGACAGGTACAAAAGATGTTGGACGACGGAATTATCGATAATGCTCGTTCTCAATGGTCGTCTCCACTTTTACTAGTACCAAAGAAACCGGATAACAATGGAAATAAACAATGGCGTGTGGTCATAGATTATAGGCTGGTAAATAAATGTCTGGAAGATGATAAATTTCCTTTACCAAACGTTAATGAAATTTTGTGTTCTTTATCGGGCGCTTTTTACTTTTCGCATCTTGACCTAACGCAAGGGTACTATCAAGTGGAATTGGAGCCGTCTACCCGACCTTGCACCGCATTTACAACTGACAAAGGTCATTACCAGATGAAACGTTTACCAATGGGACTAAAAGTCAGTCCGAGTTCTTTTTCTAGAGTCATCACAATTGCAACATCTGGTTTAAATTACGACTCATGCTTTATTTATTTTGACGACATAATAGTTTTTGGCAATAATTTAGAACTCCATAATCAAAATTTAACCAAAATACTTCAAAGGTTAAGAGAAGTCAATTTAAAGTTAAATCCGTCTAAGTGTAACTTCCTGAAAAAAGAGCTTCTTTATTTAAGACATGTAATATCTGGTGAAGGAGTATCTCCAGATCCAAAGAAAATTGCAGCTGTTAAAAACTACCCTACCCCGAGAAACGCGAACGAAACAAAGCGATTTGTGGCATTAGTCAATTATTACAGGCGTTTTATTCCAAATTTTGCGAAAATTGCTCACCCATTAAATAAGTTACCACGTAAAAATATCGAATTTCAATGGTCATCTGAATGTCAAGAAGCATTTAATTTATTAAAGACTTCACTTAGCTCACCACCCGTATTAGCTTATCCAAATTTTTCAAATACATCAAAATTTATATTAAAAACGGATGCATCAGGTAGTGCAATAGATGCAATTTTGTCTAACGAAACACTTAGACCGATAGCTTATGCAAGTCGTACATTAAATAAAGCAGAGAAAAATTATTGTACTATAGAAAAGGAATTGTTGGCAATTGTCTGGGCAGTAAAACACTTTAGGCCATATTTATTTGGGAAAAAATTTGATATATTTACTGACCATAGACCGCTGGTTTACTTATTTGGTATGACTAATCCAACAAGTCGACTAACAAAATTTCGCTTAGTATTAGAAGAATTTGACTTTACTGTAAAATATATAAAAGGAACTGAAAATGTAGTTGCGGATGCTCTATCGAGAATTGAATCCACACAATTAAAGGAACTGGGTATTAACGTGTTAGTAACTACACGGGCACAAGCTAGATTGAAACAAAATTTGAATACGGGAAACAATGAAAATGATTCTACTGACTGGACTGATCACCCAGGCATAGTGGAGTTATTGAATTACCCCCCTAATGCAGTACAATTAAATATTTGTAGAGTTAAAAATAAATCGGAAAACATATATTTTGATAAGCGCGCACGAAAAATTATTATGCAGCAGATACCTCGATCAACGTCAGCATTAGATGTGTCGTTGAGAGACCTGCATTCAATATGCATTCAAAATGAGATTGAAAATATATATATCTTGAAAGATAATAAAAATAAAATGAACAATGAGCTCATTAACCGACTGTATAAGTTCGTAAATAAAATTAAAGAATACAAATTACAAATAAATGTTGTTACTGACGCCCAGCCTATTGAAAACAGAGAACAGCAACAATTAATTATAAATGATTTTCATAATTTACCCACTGGCGGTCATGCAGGAATTAATCGCACATATGCTAACATAAAACGTTATTTCTTTTGGCCAAATCTTAAACATGATATTGAAGTCTTCATAAAAAAGTGCGATAGTTGTCAGCGGTATAAATATTCAATTCCGCATAAAGAACCTTTAGTTATTACGTCTACTGCAAATTCGGCATTTCAAAAAGTTTATCTTGATTTAGTAGGGCCCCTTAATCAAGATGTTCTTGGAAACAAATACATTTTGACATTGCAGTGTGAATTGTCAAAGTGTGTAGAGGCTTACCCTCTTGAAAATAAAGAAGCAGCAACAGTGGCTAAATCATTTGTTGAAAATTTTATCTTGAGGTACGGAATTCCGAAAGCAATAGTAACCGACCAAGGAACTGAATTCTTAGCTTCAGTATTCAAAGACTGTTGTACTATGCTTAAG